GATTCAAACAATGAGATGTTAATCACAAAATTCAACACTTCAGTAATACTATAAGTGGATACAGTTTGTATTTTCACATTTTCAGACATTAACCATCTTCTATAATTATTCCACAGTGTTCACAAATCACATTAGCACCTTCTGACACTTTTGTTAGAGGCTTTTTCTCCCCTTCTCTAGTGTGTTTATATTTTTACAGAAATTGTGCTTCACTTCTTATTTTCTTTTTATACTGAATTGCAAGTATAAGTAATGAAATAATGTCATGAGAGGAGAGTTGTATTCCAAAAAAAAGAGTTTTCATGACAGTATCTTGAAGGGATGATGTGGTATGTGAGTTAAATTAGATTATTCCTCCTATTTTCTAGTGAAACAAAAGATATTAAATGAGTTACTGGGATTTGTTTTACTTGGTCTGGTCCATGGTACAGATATAAAAGATACTGATATAGAAGCATTTTTTAGTGCAGAGCCTACAAGATAATTGTTCAACTTCGGGAGTAAAATTATTCAGGATTTAACAATATGAATTACTTACTGGAGAAATGGAGAAGTGTTAACTTCACTGGATTCACCACTGCCAAATTAATAAATTCAGGAAAATCAAACTCAAAGTGATTATGAAGATGAAACAAATACTTCAAATTTTCTTAAAGCAGTAATAATCTGGTAATAAAATGTTTCTTTGAGAGCAGAGCACAATGGACTCAATGCATAGATGAGCATTTTTTTGCTAAAGCCTTTTTAGAAGTGACAATAACGGCACATGGCTCAGCGATAGGATTTACTGTGTGTTTCCTGCCAATAATTAAGTACTTTCCTGCCAATAATTAATTTCACCTTTCCTGAAAATAAGGCACTTGAACCCTGTTCCAAAGTATTTGCACAAAGTACTCAAAAAGTTTGGAGACAGATCAGTGGGAGGTTCAGTGCTTATTTGTGCATTCCATTGGCCTTGGATATATGGACTCAGCACTGTAAGAAGTTTTTATGGGTTCTTACTCATAAGGGGTTCTTCTTGAGGACATTGAAAAGATTTCTGACAGGGACAGAGGTGACACTGTGATAGGAGAGAAAATAAAGACAAAAATACCCATCTTATATTTTAGAATATGAGCTGGTATCCAAGGCTGACAATGGCCTGACAAACCAGCTTTGATAATGTGTAACTTGTTACAAAGGTTTTATAAGGAAATAAAACTAATCAGCAGTTTGGTAGCAAAGACAAGGAGAGTTGGTGGCACCTGAAATTTGGCCTGCAGAAGGATGTCCTTGGGCAAAGAAGCAAGCAGTGGAAGTAGTCTAGGAGTCATGAGAAGTTTGATTTGATGGCAAGGTATCTCTCAATGTGATAAAACAGCTGGAATAAAATATGTATGATAATTGTTCTAATTATTAGCAGTTGCACAAAGATTCTTTAATTTATAGCTGTAGAAGGGAAAGGGTAGCGAACAAGACCCTCTGTGCAGTTTCTTCAGAGGTTTTGGAAGCAGATGGATACCTCTCAAAAGTAGTTGATTAAGAGATGAAAAGTTCAGGAAAGAACAAAATTTCAAAATTGGTTTCATTCAATTTTTTTTTCATTCAGTTTCGTTCAGTACAGTCCTGTATCTTGTTACCAGAGAGGAGCCCAGCACCTCCTGTTCCACTGCTCCCCTTGAAGAGGGTGTAGATTATTCTGAGGACACCCTCAGCCTTTCCATTCCTCCAGTGTTTCTGTTGGCTGCATCAGATAAGCCTTAGTTGTCATTTGTAGTATGAAGTGCTTTAGTCTACTTAATTGTTCCTGATACACAAATGGTTCTAGACTGCTCGTCATCTTTGACATAGTTTCTGATGTACTTTCAGTTATTTTATGTTTGGGGTTTTTTTAATGTGGAAATAAGCTGATTTAGGAAACAAGTCTGTGAATACACAGTGGAGTAGTGAAGTTTTGTGTGTACTCTTACGTTTTCTAAAACTGTAGTTTTTAGTGTCCTGACCTCTGGGCCAGTCTTAATTCTAGATGTTCTATAGGCAGTCACAGTGCAGAACCTATTAGTTTGTGTAATGGTAGGATATATAAATTTATATGTGGGTATGTATTAACTCCCAAGGGTCCCTTCCTGCAAGTTGGACTTTTTTAGCTATTTTCTTTTCTAAAACATTCAGGTTGGGATTCAGCTACAGATTAGAGTAGGCATCTGAACCTCTGCTGTTTATTGAAAAATAGTGCACGTACTTTTATTTGTTCCTTTTTTCTGTAATTTGTCTCTAAAGTATTGGCAGCACTATCCAGTGGATTACTGTAAGAACAGCTCTACCATGAGAAACTCCTTCGGTTACTCTTGATTGCATAGCAAAATCTGCATGTGCATGTAGACATTCATATATACAAATTGATCTGCACTGGAGATTGAGGCTCACTCTGCGAGGTTTACTGATTCTGGGACAGTTGAAGGACCTGCTTTTCAGAGTATTTTGTTTTACTAGGATTCTTCTTTTGAGGTTAGAGTTGGGTTCAGCCTTTTAAGTGATACCTCTTAAACCCTGTTCTTGCCTTACTGAGCTCCTATTGCCCTTTCTCAAGCTTTTTCTTTTCTGATAATTGTGTATTTGCTCCGACTTCCCATAGAATTGCTGACTCCCCATACCACAGATGTACATTTTACTCTAAGTATTTTTAAACATAATTTTTATAGCTTCCCTTTTCATATTAAGGAATACTTGGGCAGATCTGTTGTTTTTGCAAAGGTGTGCAAAGGTTCCTGTTCAAATGGTTCCTCAATATTTTGAGTCTGTTCATTGTAAATATCCAACAAGCTTCTTTAGTTCCCCTACAACTTCTCTTAGAAATAACAATTCTTAAATTAAAAGAATATACAATTTACAATACATCAACTTTTATGCAAGTTAAAAGAAATACTAATTCACAATTTCTAAAAATTTCCTCCTAGCATCATAACCTTCTACAACTCAAATCTGTGGTGCTGATTGAACTCTCCTGTTCAATCCTGTTCCTGAGTTTTGTCTTGGTGCTTTTCCAGTTTCCTCCAGCCTGTTGCAGTAACCACAAGAACCATACATCTCAGATTGAGATCCTGTATGAGGAATGAACAAAGCTATGAAAAGATAAGATTATAAATGATCTCATAATACAAGAGAAATACCATTTCCCACTCATCACCATTCCAATCCTATTAACTGCTTTTTGAAATGCAGAAAAGACCTCATCACATGGATCTGGTTTTCTAATTTCTTCTCAAGAATAAATCTATGCTACCGTGAAAAACTGTACATTTTTCTTCCCTTAAATGTTTTTCCATGTTTTTCAGCGTATTCTGTTTCCTGTTTTCACTTGCACCCTGCCAGAAGGATGCTGTCATGATTATGCCTAGTGATTCTTGAATCTTTTTACTGACCTTTTTCGTTCTTTTTTTTTTTTTTTTTTACCTGATATTGGCTATAGTCTATGCCACTAGGTTCATTTCCTTTTCTCTGGCTTCTCTTGGAAAGGATCACATTTGGTATTTCTTTATATTACTTCAGTGGGCTGTGTCTGGGAACTTCACTACTCACCCCTGCCCTCACTAAAATCAAGTCAAATAAGCAGCTGGTACCTTATCCTGAGGAGGTATTCTACAGATTAGCCAAAACCCAGTAATAAGCACAGTTTTAAATCACTCTCGAGGCTTGTTTGAAATACTTTGTGGCTGTGTTTTGGTCAGTAATTAAAACTAATGAAATCTATCTGGGTTGTATCTTTACATTTTTTGCATTCCTCATTCAGTGATGCAGTTTTTAAAGTGCTACTTATTTGCGGTAAAAGGATTGCCTTTTTTGTTTTCTGATTTGTTTATTGATGTGAAATTATACGAGATGTATGAAACAGGATAGGAAATCCTAAGGCCAAATCTGGATCTTTATAATACTCTTCAAGTTGGAAAATTTCTACTGAAATGAGAACATTTTTACTCAGTTATTGTTCTTGAGATTAATTAGATAATGCCTTGGTAGGTAGAAAGATAAAGCAGAGCTTGTGCCTTATTTCCTTCTATGTATCTGTTAGAGTACATAATAAGGGTCTGGCTTCTTTGGAACAATTCTATTGCCAACAGCAGTCATTCAGACTCAATTATAGTTCATGGGTTGAAATTATATCCATAAAAAGATGTCTATTAGCAATGTTTTAGATGTCCTGTTTAAGAGAGTAAATGATGCAAATTTCTCACAGATTACTGTACCTCTAAAGGTCTCTCGCTTTACTAAAGGGAGTTGGAAGAAAAAGCCACTTCTAAATGGATCAAATGTTTTTTGAAAACTGGTTCAACTGATGTCTCATATGTTAACAGGCTAAAGTAATAGGATGCAAGTTAGTGCCTAGCATGCTTTCAGAATTTTTAGACCAAATATACTGTTACTTAGTGTTCTGAAATACATGTAGGGCATAAGGTTACATCCTATAATCACCCTGCACGTTTTATTATGCTTGGGTTTCCTGAAACAGATGGAAATCTCTTCAGAAGCAGAAGAAAATGTATTTTTTGTGACCCACTCAGTATCTCACACCCAGTGGGATTTTTAGGTTGTGTTCAGAAGCTTTCACAGGATCAGAAGGGAGTGGCAACTGATTCCTTTGTGCAGGGTTTGAGTATGATATGGCCTGACACCTTCAAATGAAGCTGTTATTATTCTGTGCTTGTGATTTCACATACTAGAAGTCAAATTCCAGTGAAGTTGACTGATTCCAGCAGATTGTTTTGGGTGTGTCTGCGTGTGTGAGAATGACTCAAGCCAGGACAAGGTACATCACTGAATCCCATGTCCAGTTTGTATCTTCCGGCATTTTTTGCATAACGCGTGTAATCGGATTTAAGCCTACAGAGAAATGACAAACTCTAAATCTTTTTAGACTTTTTCTGGCTGTAGCAAAGCAGACCTGTCATGATGTGGGGGAGGGACGTGTTGGAAGGGGAGCCCTGGGTATAGTGTTTAATGGTGAGTGATCTGTGTGTTCGCAGGGGCCGTGGGGGAGTGCCTCCACCACCAGCAGGAGTGCCCAGAGGGGCACCAGCTCCCAGGGGAGTCCCTCCTAGCAGAGGACCAGTCAGTCGGAGCCGGGGACTTCTGGCACCCAGAGCACGAGGAGTTCCTCCCCCAGCAGGGTACCGGCCCCTGCCGCCGCCCCCAGCACAGGAGACCTACGGGGAATATGTAAGTGGAGCTGTGGATGTGCTGTGCATGGACCATGTGTCATTCTGGAGAGGTCAGATCCCTTCAGAACTCTGTACAGTCCCTGTAATTAGCCCCTAATTAAGTCCTACACCCAGCATCTCTGACAAATGTGGTCATCTCTCTTTACCATTTCAGACTTGAACTGTTTAATTAAAAAAAAAAATCAGGTTATATGTATACAGCACCATAAAGACATTTACAACACATTTGGCAAAATAGTTATGTACCTCTTAAATGTTTAATATTAGGTTTTTGCTTTCCAAAACATCTGAGAAATCACAATGTTGTAGGCTTTTAATTCTCAACTAAAACAGAATAATATTCTAATCTTCCTAAGCCTATCTTTGTGGTCATGTAGTTGTTTAATGATTGGACAAGTAAAATATTTTTATGAAAGCTTTAGAACTAATCCTAAAATTTTAACAGTTCACAGTTTATCTCAATAAGCTGTACATATTCATCTTGATTTTACTGTATTAAATATTAAAATCATATCAAAATACTTTTTATGTTATATATGACAAAATTATGCAGTTATGAATTAAGGAAAGCTTAAATTGAACTTACAAAGCAGTAAGATACAGAAAAGAGATCATTAAATCAAAACAATAGTGATAAAAATGAATTTACTCTTAGAGAAAAATAATACCTTCAAGGACAATGCTTTTAATGTTTTTTTTATATAAATGTTTTAGTGTTCCCTCTTTACAGCTAAGAGTGTCTGGACTTTGTTGCTTAGACTAGCAGGAAAGGAGATTCTGCATTCCTAAAAATGGTTTTGCTACTTAGATTTTTTTTTTACTTTTCTCTAAACCTTTCTTTACCTCCATTCTTCCAAAAATCCCCACCAAAACCATCTAAATCAAATAACAGGGTTTTTTTTCCTTTTGCCAGAAACCCAGTTTTCTATATAACACTTGTAGCTTTATTAGGGAAGAAGTTTAATGTTGTTAATGTAAACATTTATGGATATAACTGAACAATTCAGAAGAATTTAATGCAGTTCATTAATTTTGAGGAAGAATACTTAAGCAATGTGTCTAAATTTCCCCTGGCTATACTTGACTAGTCAGAGTGGGTACTGTAAATAAGTGGTTCTAACACAGTGCTTTCAAAAGAATCACTCCTCATTGAACAGCCTGTTTCCAGGACATACATTCTAAAACACAGAGGTGGTAGAATATAAACATCCTTGAGTAACTTAATATTTATATATAATCTATTATTTATAGCCTGTGTCTATAGAGGTGGTAGGGAAGTAACAGCCTTTTGCCTCAGTATCCTGAAGTATGCTTCACTTTTGGGAGAATAATTAGAAAATAGCACTGTACAGAAAAATAGTGCTGTGCTAAATAACTTCTAAAAAATAATTTTCTTTAGAACTAGATCACTTATTTTCTGAAAAAGATACCTTAGCTGGGATAGATACAGTTAGATAGTTAAAGCTGTAGTTGATAAAGCAGTGCTAGGTGGTCTATTTTTTTCTTTAGAAGAAATTCAGCAGGGATGTAAGCCGCTGGTGTATTGCATGTTCAGTATTAAATTTGATGCTTGGTATTTTTTTAATCTGTCCATCTACAGTACATTATCTAAGTGCCTTAACTATGTCTTCTACAGGTTAAGGGAGCATGGTAGGAGTCAGTAGTAGTATTTCTGCCCCTTCTTTACTAAGTCCTTTTTAGTTATATCTAATACTAAAACATTAGTTTGCCAATCTGGACAGAGTAAGGTTTTGTTGAATGAGGAGTGTCTGTACAAGGAGAACATCAGAAAGACTGGGGGGTTCCATAAGTTATTTTAAGCATCATCAAAGCTTTGGAGACTGAGATACCCAGAGAGCTTACAGAGAAACCTTCAGAAGTATATTGGGCTTTTGTGGCCAGGTTTTGGTAACAGAGGGGTGCAGGGGTGGCTTCTGTGAGATGCTTCTGGAAGCTTCCCCCATGTCCAGCAGAGCCTGTGCCAGCCAGTTCCAAGGTGGTCCTGCTGCTGGCCAAGCCAAAGCCCAGCAGCAAAGGCAGTACTGCCTTTGGGGTAGCATATTTAAGAAAGAGAGGGAAATCCCAGTCAGGAGCAGTCTGTTCCTAAAGAGCTTCACCCCATGGAAGGGGCCTACACTGGAACAGTACATGGAGAACTGCAGCTCAAGAGAAGGGCTCATATTGGAGAAGTTAGTGACTGACTGTACCTCTGGGAGGGATCTGATGCTGGAGCAGGTGAGGAGTGGGAGGTGTCCTGTCCCTGAGGAGGAGCAAGCGGAGACAAGGTGTGGGGAACTCACCACAGTCCCATTCCAATCCCCCTATGTTGCTGTGAGGGAACAAGTAGAGAGTTTTGGAGTGCAGTTGAGACTGGGAAAGAATGGAAGAGTGCAAGGGAAGGTGTTGCTAAATTGAGTTTTTATTTCTCATCATCTTACTCTGATTTCACTGGTAATATGCTAATTCCCCCCAGCTGGGCTTGCTTTGCCTGGGACAGTAACTGGTGAGTGATCTCTCTCTGCTCTTAAGCCGTGAGACTTTTGTTATGGTTTCTCTCCCCTGTACACCTGAGGAGGGGAGTGACAGAGTGGCTTTGGTGGGCACCTGGTGTCCAGTCAGGGTCAACCCATCACAATAAGACTTTCCACTGAGGATTGGAAAGTCCTGAGGATTCATGAAGCTTTTCATTCCCTTAGGCTTACTAGTTTTTGCTTTGTACTTGTTAAACTAATGTGAAACACCGTGCAAGTCCAGGAGGAAGCAAACTGTGTGTGAATGGAAGCTTTGAACTACTTACTCCTGTAACTGTGAATATCTCAAAGGTGATTTAGGATTTTCAATATGTAAAGTTCTTGCCTATTTCCTCTGTTGAGTGCTATTAAATCTACCTTGTTGCAGACAATGAATTACAAACAGCTTCCCTTTTCCTTCACTCCCTTTGCTAACTCTGTGTAGTTCTTGAAATCAATGAATTTTTAACATCTATGACTAACTCAGTTCTGCCTCCTGCTTATCCTGATATCTCTCCTTCCTCTTCTTGATTAAGGAGCTGGGTTATTTTTGAAAGTTATCATCAAAATGGGAAGGGAATGCCTATTTCATACTGAAAAATTGGAAGGTTTACTTCTGGAGGCAGTATTTCACATGGGAAAAATATCACAGCAAGAAGTTGTTAATTTGAGATGCATTTTAATGTGGGCTCAAGATCAAGAAAACTGTGTCAACATTGCTGTCCTTTGTTTAGAGCCCACAGGGAAGTGTTCCAAAACCTTGCCCATTACAGAAAGCTCTACTCAGTGAGCTGCCTTGGTCTTCTGTCAGCATTCTGGGGTCTTTGCAGTGGTGGCCTTTGAATGCTTTGGCTTTCTCTGCAGAAGTCACACAATATACTGGACTTGCAGCAATATTTGTACATCTTTCCAGTTCAGTATAAGTAGTTTTCCCACTCCACTGTTGCCAGTCTCATTTATGTATGAGTCTCAGCTGCAGAACTTACTCCTCCTGAGACCCCACCACACTGTTAGTACCGTGATGAAGCTCTTGAAGCCACTAAATAACAGTTCCTTATCATTTTCGCTGAAGACTGACTCTTTAATAGCTGTAGCATCAGCTTAGATAGGAAAAATTCTGGCCTCTATGGTCAGCCAGCTTTATAATCGCTGCTCTGACCTCACTGCTCTGGTTGCTGTGATAAACTTTCTCTGAAGACTAAGAGGACTCTAATTTTTCTTTTCTTCAACTCCTCAGGTCAGGACAAAACGTGTTGTGATGTGTGAAGCATGGCCAGGATTATTTTTGTAATAGTTGGGTGAAGTGGATGCTACATTTGTTGAAGCACTTACAGATGGTTTCAGGAACATTTTTCTCTTCATTAAATGTGAATTTTTCTTTACTCATTGAACTACACTGTGTAATAGAGAAAAAATATTTTTCATGGATTTTTAAGCTGACAACTTATTCTACTAAGAAATAGAAACTGTATATAACTACTAGCTGAAAAATTCAAGCTTTTCCACAATTTTCCAAAAAGCAGGAAATTACTAACAGTGTAAGGTCAATTCCTTAGCAAATGTTGAGTCAAACATAGGTTAAAACAGAACTGTTCAGTCTCAGTTCCTGTCTCAACATTTGCTGCTCTTGGCCTCTTCCTGCTGTCATCTTAGCAGCTTCCAACCTCTGAGGCTTTTTTCCAAATTAGCAACACAGCAGTGTGACTGAAGCTTTTTAAGAGTAGATTTTTATTTGATGCTGTTTTCATTTTACAAAGGCAAATATTTTGCAAATATTCTGTTGGTCTTTCACTTCTCTACGTTGCATGAATATATTTGTGATGATGATGTGTTAAGTCCTGTTTTGGCTGCTTAATTGTGTTAAATGCAAAGTGAATTTTATCTGAGTTCATAATCAGATTTTTAGGCATTAAGAACTTTAAACATGGATTTAAAACCCGTTGCTCTGGCATTGTGGAATGTCTGGACTAAAAATTAACTTATTAGTCTAGCATGTTGTGGTTAAGACTTATTTCAACACTGCTTTGGAAGGTAGAGCTAAATATTCCTCCCTGTTCTGGGGAAGATTTGTCAGAGCTTTATTTCTGGTTTTGGCTAATTTTATTGGTATCTTACGGTGTTCAGACAAGGGTTAACTGATGCACTGACCACATGCATAATTTCTGGCAGCAAATGCTTCAGTGACATTGCTTCGTGTATTAAGAAGTGTAATTAAGATGGAATGTCTGCTAATAAGATATTGGTATTTAAGTATAACGTTACTTCTAATGTTAAGTAAATTGTAACCTAAAAAAGAGCACTGTGAATTATTTCCAATTAGATTTCAAGATTATTTCAATTTGGATACAGATACAGGCCTCTCAAAAGGATGTATGGAACAGTCACATGCAAAAAAGTTACTGGTAACAACAAACTACAAAATCTACTTAAAATGTACATTTAGTTATTTTTTCTTTCTGCAAAACCATGAAGGTTAGGCATGTTTTTA